CAGTTTCTGTCACCTTGTTTGTTGAGACAGGGTCTCTCATTGGCCTAGAACCCACAAGCCCATAAAGCTGGCTGGCCAGGGAGCCCCAGGGGTCTGCCTGTCTCTGTCTCTCCATTCCTGGGATTACAAGCATGGACTACCATGTCTGGCTTTTTTTGTGTGTGTTCTGGGGATTGAACTCAGGTCCTATGCTTGTAGGATAAGTGCTTTGCTCATTGAGCCATCTCCCCAGGCCCAAGGAGTTCTTTGGGAAGCTGAGGACCAGCTGTCTGTCTGTTCCCCCACCCCCAGCATCATGCTTTGATGATGGCAACGTCATGGGTGGGGGGATGGCTTAACAGGTAAAGGTATTTGCCACCAAGTGGCACCCAGTTTCAATCCCTAGAACTCACATGGTAGAGAGAGAGTCGACTCTAACCTCCACACTCATGTGTTAAGGCATACTCATATCTCCCCAACACGCAAATAAATAAATGTAAAAACAGCATTTTTCATTTAGGTGCTGGAGACGGATGGTTTAGGGGTTAAGAGCACTTGCTGCTCTTACAGAGGACCCAAGTTTGGTTCCCAGAATTCAAATGGTAGCTCATAACCATCTTTAGCTCCAGTTCTATGGGATCCGATGTCCTCTTCTGGCCTCCACAGGAACTGGGTTCACACCTGGTACACAGACATACATTCAGGCAACACACTCACACACACAAAATAAAATAAACTTTAAAAAAAAGGAAAAAATAAGTAAATTAAAAAAATCTGTGATACCTCTGGTTGTGGTGGCCCATGCTGGTAGGATTTGCTGAGGGAGGCAGAGGTAGGAGAATCATGAGTTTGAGGCCAGCCTGGGCTACACATTTACTACAGAGAAACCCTGTCTGGAAAAACTGAGAAAAAAAAAAAATCAGTGACACCTCCATCCTCATGGGCAGGCTCAGAAGCCTGGCTACTGTGGCTACTAAGCAATCAAGGTGTGGCTAGCATAAAGGATGGGCTCAGCTGTCCTTTGCATCATCCTCGCCCCTCCTCGTTAGCCAGCGCTGGTGTGGCTTGTGACTGCTGCCCAGGAAGCCCAGCTGTGTGGGCTGTTTTTCTTCCCCAGAAGCTCCCAGTGATGGGCCTGGCCTCTTGTTCCAGGAGTCACCTGACAAAGTCCAGGAGTGGGGCCTACTTATCCTGTCTGACCATCGGGCAGATGCCTGTATGCCAGGGGTGAGGCGACGTCCATCTTTGCCCATCTTCCACCCAAACCCCGGGCGGCACGTGGCATCAGGCCCTTGGCACAGCCCTCTTCTCTGTTTGCCAGTTCCCTCCACCACCTCCCCTCTTCCTAATTAACTCTGCAGCAGCGTGTCTGTGTTCCTGTGCCAGGGCTACGAGCCAGCATCCTGGCATGTGCCTGCCTGCGGGGTGGAGATGAGCACCCCCACACAGCCTGGTACCACCCCCTTACTTTAGCAGTCGGGACCCTCTCCGACCTCAGGTCTGGGTAGCAGGGGTGACAAGACAGGCCCTAGGCTCCAGGATTTGTATGTTAGTTAGGCGCAGAGTAATCCCTGACTGGGTTCTGGCTCCTCCTCCTGAGAGGAAGATGCTGAGGACTCCCTCATCATGACCAGACCTGGCATGAGCCCAAGAGGAGGAGCTGAGGGGGACTAGGGGATGAAGAAGTCTCTGGGCTCTCTTGCCTCATATGGGTACACACAGGGGCTAAATCTAGGAGCAGGGAGAGCACCCAGTGGTCTTCCCCAGTCACCCTCCACCCTCCCACCTGCTCAGCTTCAGGTGAGGAAGGCAGGCAGAGCTTCCCTGGGGACAGGGAGAAATGTGAATTTCTGGGCCCGAGCCTGCTTTATAACCACGAAATCTGGGTGGCAGCCTGGGAATCTGCATGGCTCCCCCCAGCTGGGAGCTCTTGGCCAGTCAGTGGTCAGGTCACCAGAGACCAAGCCCTCTTCCACCTCAAGGTATAGGTAGCTCAAAAGCACAGAGACAAAAGAGGAACCAACACAGATAGCCCCCTAGAATACAAAAAAAAAAAAAAAAAATCCCAAGTCACCCTGCATCTCAGAGCCAGGCAAAGTACCTCTGAGGCAGAGGGGGAATTGTGGAGTCCCTCCTCTTTATCCCCAACATCTGGGGAGGAGAGAGGAGAAGAAGGGGGGTCCAGTAGTTAAGAATCAGAACATCTGGGAGCTCTGGTCTGACCTCCCTTCCTCCCTTTCCCTGTGTCCCTTGTCCCTGTGGACTTCCCTCTGGGAGATGGAGGGAAAACCAACTGTTCTCCCGCCAGTACCCTGCTGCCTGGGTAGAGAACATCCTACCACACCAGGTCCTTCCCTGGGGCAGGGGGAGGGGGTGAGAGCAAAACTCAGTAGGAGAACTGGGCACACAGAAGACAAGAAAGGAGAGAGGAGGTAGGGAGGGGAGGAGGAGAAGAGGGGGCGACAGGAGGGGAGAGGAAGGCAGAGAAGGAAGAAGGAAAGAGGAAGAGGGAAGGGAAGAGGAAAAGGGGAAGGGAGAAGGAAGGAAAACAGGAAGAAAGGACAGAGGGGAGGAAGAAAAAGAGAGGAGGGGCAAAGGGGGTTGGCTTGTGGGGAGAAGCGGGGGCGGGGAGGGTTTGAGAAGGGTTTCACTCAGCGGGAACAAGAGTGAAAGCGCTCAGCTGGAAGCTTGCTGTCCTGGCTCTCGGGTCCTGGAAGCTCCTTATTGGCAGTGCGCCTACCCGCCCCTAGCCTCTGGCTCCAATACAGTGAGGGAGACCCTGGTCTCTAGACGTGAGCTCCGTCGTGCGGGGATCTCCCTCCCCGATGCCAGTCCCAATCCACCAGGTACAGCCCAACCTCCCTCCCAGGCTTCCTACAGAGCAGGCCTTCATCGAGCATGCCCTGCCCAGCCTTGTGCAAGAGAGACTCATCCATAATGACAGGAAAGGATGTCAACCTGTGCTGGAAGCCACCTGGGACCCAGTGGCTTGCCACATGCCCTGTCATAAAGTATCTTATTTCTGGATACAAAAAACAAGATGCCTATTGATTTTTTCACGAGGTCACACACCTTGTGGATGGCCCGGTGTAGCCCAGTTATCATGGATTCCCTCCTCGAATGTCCGCTGGGCCCAGGGTGGCTGCTGACCTCCATCCCAGCGGGCTCCCATCCCAGTGATGGCTGCTCCAGAGCCAGCACCAGCACCGGCAGGTTTCTCAATTTCTTTTATATTGCTGTGATAAAATACCCCAAGCAAAAGCTTCTTGGGGGATGAAGGGCTCATTTTAGCTCATAATTCCAGGGTTCAGTCCATCACTTTGGGGGAATCACAGCAGTAGGACCTTAAGACAGATGGTCTCACGCCACATCCATAGTTAAGAGCCAAGAGAAACAAACACACGCTTGCACATACTTACCTTTCCCTCTGCTCTTATACAGTCCGGGACCTAGGGAATGGGGCCACCACCCACAGTGGGCTGCGCCTTCCCACACCAATTAAGGCTACCAAGACAATCTCCCAGAAATAATCACTGGCCCACCTGATCTAGACAATCCTTCACTGAGACGCTCTTCCCCAGTGACTGTAGATTGTGTCAAGCTGACAATGAAAGCTGATTATCACAGCTTCCCAGCCTGTAAGCTTCCCAAGCAGGTGATGATTCAGACACCCGAGAGAAGCCCTGAGTGTCCATCACAATGGAGATGTAGACCTGAGGGAGGGCTTGCTCAGCACATTGCTATGGGTCCTTCACTTGTTAGACAGAGCTGCCTGGGGCTTGAGCCCAGAGACATCAAGCCTGATGAGTCAGACTCCAAAATGGTCACCGATAGGACCCGGAGCAGCCACCTATTGTCTCTCTCAGGCTTAGTCCATTCTTGATAAGATGGCCATGACACCTCAGTGGTCAGTCAAGACTTGTACCTGGTCTTTGTCCCTCGCCTTAGACCCACAGGAAATGGCAAAGCCTTCTGAGACGGTTTGAAGGAAAACAGCCCCCAGAGGGAGTGGCACTATTAGAAGGTGTGGCTTTGTTGGAGTAGGTGTGGCCCTGCTGGAGGAAGTGTGTCACTGTAGGGGCGGGCTTTGAGGTTTCCTATGCTCAAACTATACCTGAGTCTCAATTCACTTCCTGTTGCCTGTGGATCAAGTTGTAAACCTCTCAGCTCCTTCTCCAGCACCTGCAGCCAGCCTCCTGCCTCAGACCTCTCTCCACCCGCAGCCAGCCTCCTCCCTCAGACCTCTCCCCATCCACAGCCAGCCTCCTGCCTCAGACCTCTCTCCCCCCGCAGCCAGCCTCCTCCCTCAGCCCTCTCCCCCCCCGCAGCCGCCCTCCTGCCTCAGCCCTCCCTCCCCCCGCAGCCAGCCTCCTGCCTCAGCCCTCTCTCCACCCGCAGCCGGCCTCCTCCCTCAGACCTCTCCCCATCCACAGTCAGCCTCCTGCCTCAGACCTCTCTCCACCCGCAGCCGGCCTCCTGCCTCAGACCTCTTCCTATCCACAGCCGGCCTCCTGCCTCAGACCTCTCCTCCCCACCCGCAGCCGGCCTCCTGCCTCTCACCTCTCCCCATCCACAGCCAGCCTCCTGCCTCAGACCTCTCCCCACCCTCAGCCGGCCTCCTCCCTCAGACCTCTCCCCACCCTCAGCCGGCCTCCTGCCTCAGACCTCTCCCCACCCTCAGCCGGCCACCTGCCTCAGACCTCTTCCTTTCTCTTACCTGGCTCTCCTGACATGATGTCTCCTGCCCAGGATTACATTTTATGCAGGGATGGCCCAGGAGTGGCTGGGGCTGTGGGAATAATGGCTTCCTGCCGAGGCCTGGCTTGTATCACTCCCATGCTACAGAGGCTATCTATTCTGGACTGAAGTCTTTGGGGCTGAGATCGGAGCCAGCCCAATGGCACCAGGTCCATACCCGAGTCAGGGGGTGCTGGACCGGGAAACTCGTAGCTACCCAACGGCGATTAAGACGAGACACGGACATCTTGTCATTTCAGGAGGGCTCTCAATCCATGGTGGAAACTGGTGTCTCCAGTTTATTCAAAGCATCCTCTTAAATAGCTTTCCAGCAGTGGGGGTGACCGCAAAAGACATCTATTATCATGTATAAAGCAGATATCAAAAATTTCTTTTGATTCCAGAGGCACTCAACAGTCTCTAGGCACGTAAGCAAGTTCTCAGAATAGGTGCAGGCACAGCCAGGGCCTAGGTCTGTTGTTATGTAAACTACAAGACATTCTCCACTGAGGCCAAGCCATCCTGCGGTGATTAGCCGGACATCTGAAAGACAATGGGAGATTCAGGCTCCTGGAAATAGAGCAGAGGTTTGGACCCCAAACTTTATAATCGATATTTTTGCCAACCCCTCCTCCCACCAGCTTCCTCACTGCCTGTCACTGCTGGGTTGATGAGACCATGTCTGTCTTCACTGGTGACTATTCTGCTGCCCCAACAGTATGGCACTATCTGAAGCCAACCATGCTTGTATCAGAGAACCTCACCTCACGCATTGTCTAAAGGGCCCCTTGATTCACCCTTGGATGAGAAATGGACCTGAAGCCCACAGAGGAGGGCACAGCCTTGCCCAGGTCACGTCTGTGAGTTCAGAGTCCCTAAGGCTATCCTAGGCCCAATGGTTCATTCACTACGAGTGTAAGGTGTATGAATTAAAGTAATGAAGGTCTTAGGATAAAAAGGCTTAAGTGATGCTAAAGTGAGTTGAGACATTAAAAAGAATGAAATATGTTCCTGATTTCTCTATTTCTCATGCTGCTGTTCATAGTTAGTAAAGTTCTTCAATACCACTATACGATCATAACTACGAGGTCAAGATTAAGATGCTTTTCTTTGTCCTAAAAAAGTATGTCAATTTTAAAATGGTAATGCTTTCAAGTTGCTTCTAACAAGAATATGCTGCTAATGTGTCTAATACTTATGTTTCCATAAACTCTAAGGATTCTTGTAAGTTCCAGGGAGCTGAATTGGATCCAAACAAACAGGTCAGATTCACTCCAGTTATTGAACCTTTCCCTGGTCCCAGGACTCCCTTCCCTCATGTTAGGACTCCTTGGGAACCCCTCCCTCATCTTACAATCTTCCCCTCAAATGACAGGACCTAAGAAAAATTTTTTTCTAAACTTACCCTTGTCCTCTACTCTGCCAACATCTTGCCAGGTCTAAGAGGCGCCAGGGAGTTTCATACAGCCTGGACTGTGATGAAACAACCAGCTATCCCCTGGCAGAACCCCAACCTTCTCGGGTCCCCCAAAGATGATCAACGCCCCCCATGTCAGCAGGAAGCAGTCTTGAGAATTTGACGCCCTTATTCCTTAATCTGCCATGTCTAACACTCCATCTTTTTTTTTAATAATAAGTAAAGGTGGGATTGAAAGGTTCAGGCTTTATGCTGGCCTGCCCCTGTTACCTGGCGGAACAGACAGTACCCTGGTCAGCTCAGGGTTCCATGGGAACTAAGTCTGCACTCAGGTGCAGAGGACCCCTTTAAAAGACAGACCCCTGCCCATTTACACTCTCTCTACTCTGCACTCTCTACTCTTCTCCTTTTCTCTGTCTGCTTCTGCTTCTCTTCTCTCTCTCTCTCTATGGCAACTGGTCAGCCATTAACCCTGCTTCTCTTCTCCTTTAGTCTCTCTACTCTGCTGGGCCTAAAATAAACTGGCTAATATGTCTCATCTTGCGCCTTCTACCTCTTCTTTATCTTTAATTTAAACAAAAGAATAACAATGAGACTCACAGAAAGTCATTTTGCTCCCACAAGGACAGCTTGCCATGGGGAAAAGACACATAAAAACTCAAGGGGAAGAGGCCCTGGGGAGGGTCCAGGGGACCAGCATAGCCCCCCCCCCCCCCCCCGGAAAGCTCAGGCTTCCAGAATCTCCACCCAGGTCCGTGGTCACTCCAATCACCAGGCAGATTCGAAAGCTTGATGCAAACTGCATGAGGCTTTATTGTTGTTTAACAAGCTAACCCCATGTTAGCTCGGGTCTTTCACCCACGTGCCATGGCGGATGGCTACAAAAGACAGCTCGAACCGGCTGTAGAGAGATCTTGTGGGGCAGCGTAAGGGGAGTGTCTAGGGGTACGCACAGGATTGGTGTGCCTCCAGGCTTGGAGGGCTTGCTCTGTGTTGCTCTGGTTGTTGTGGCCCATAGGCCCTCCCAGGGTGGTTGCTATGCTCTGTGCGTCATTGCTGTGCACTTGTCTGTAAAGCACATCCAGAGCCATAAAGCATCGCGCCACCAGCTAACTTCTGATTGGTTCCTTACCAATCAGAGTACCATGAGTGCCTTCAGAGTACCATGAGCTGCACTGACTTTCCCAGTGGTACATGTGACCGCACGCATGTGGGTTCCTGCAGCTGCCAAGTGAGCCTCCCCACCGACCCTGAGCTGGAGTTACAGGCAGCAGTGAGATTCCCAATGTGGGTGCTGGGAACTGAACTCTGTGAAGGGACCAGCTCCCCATTTCGGCAGCCATAACAGCCGAACACGTATTTGTCTGACCTTGTCTTAGTCACTAAGGTCAGATGCCTGCCCCTTTCGGCAGCTGTGACAGAAACACATGCTTTTCTGGATTGACTTAATTGTGGACCTGGAAACAATTAAGACAAATGCCTCTGGGTGGGCACACGAGGACAATTCCTGGAAAGATTAGATGAGGGAGGAAATCCCTCCTCTCCAGAATCCCAGATATAAGAGGTCCCTGAAATAAACAACCCCCTTGCGGGTATGTTCATCTACCTCTGTAGCTGCTGGCGACGCCTCATCCCTGCCACTAGACTCGAGTCTCTCCAGGTTCCAACATGGGCTGAAGACTCGTGGCGTACATTATTCCCTTTGCTCATCGCTGTCAAAATGCTTGATTGATGGCTCTTATCTGCAAATGGAGAGGGGAGATGAGGAGCTCTCGGAACTCAGATGACCTGCCCAAGTCCACCAAGACTGCACAGTGACTACCCAGCCATTCTGTCCCCCACCCCTACCCCAGAAGACACTGTGCCCTACTTAGCTCCCTGGTAGCTCTCTGAGCCCAGACCACGAAACCCTGGTCCTCTTCTCAGTCCCTGCTCTCCCACCCTGGAGAACTTTCTGCCCTCAGTCTCCTTCCTTCAGTGAGAGCCTTTTCTACATGTCTCTCCCAGACGTGTCACCTGGGCGTCTGAGGTTGGCATTGTTGGAAACATCTCCAAGGTAGTGACAGAGTGCACGCACAGGAGTGGGTGTGTTGATAGGGGACAGAGGCAGGCACACAGATGGGCGGGGGTGGGGGCAGGAGATTGTGAATGGGCATGGACAGGGATGGGGCAGGAGCAGATCCATGAGCAGGACAAGGACAGGGGCTGGTACATGAGTAGTGTAGGGACAGGGACAGGGATGGGTGCACACCTACGGGCAGGAGCCTGGGTAGGAGCAGGGGCAGGGTTAGGGGGAGGAGCAGGGGCATGGGTGGGGCAGGGGCAGGTTGCAGGGGCATGGGTGGGGTAGGGACCACACTGCCCTTTGTCCTGTTTCCTCTATGCCCTTTCTCCTCATCCCAGCTGGTTCTGATCAGAACTCTAATGCCTTTTTATTTTCTCAGAGAGACAGCTCTTTCAAGGAATGCCATGGGGAGGGGTCCAGCCACCTGAGACCAGCGGGGAGGAGCGGGGTCGGGTCAGGAGTTATTGTGGAGACCTTGGAGCTCATTTCTTCCAACTCCAGCCTCCTTCAGTGCCCCTCAGGAATGCCAGTCAAACCTCAGCATCCTGCTTCCCACTATTCAGAGAGGAGAATGCAGATTAAAAATACATGACTGGCATTTTCCAAGTTGCCATGCTGAGCACCATGGGGGCGTTTATCAAGGGTCCTCCCTCCCTCACACCCAACCCCCTCCACCTTCTCAGACCCACTCTGTGAAATTCAAGGTGTCTCCCTCAGCAAATGTGGTGGTGGTGTGGGGCGCTGTGCTTTATTGAAAGGTCTCTTTTCATTCCAGTCTGCCTCCTATGCTGAGGCCCCCCAAAGCCAGGGGATTTGAGAATAAGCAAAGAAATCCAATCCCCCAGAAGAGTGGCTTTCCAGCAAGTGGGCTCAGCAGAGGATTAGCTGGGAGCCTGGCTTGCTCTCAACTCTGCTTTCTAATAGGGCCTTCCTGACCCTCCATAGACTTCTAAGAACCTGACCCAGTGTCTGTGCAGGGGGAGGGCGGTACCATCTCACCTGTGTCCCCAGTCCTACTCAGGACTCCCTTTGTTGACTGGCCAGTCACTCTTTTCCTCCCAAAGGCTCCCCAGCATCAGACAGAGGTGGGGGGGGGGGAGGGGAAGGTGCACTGACTTGCTGGGGCTATAGCCTGGGGATAGAGTGCAAGGGTGTGTGGGGAAGGTGCACTGACTTGCTGGGGCCATAGCCTGGGCATAGCGTGCTTAGGGAGTGGGTTCAGTCTTCAGAATCTCACACACATGGTCGTGGGGAAGGCCCAGAGGGTACGTGGCATTGGGGGACAATGGTCTCAAGAGTACATGCCCCTCCCTCTCCACCCGGCAGTGTAGAGAAAATCCGAGGGTCACTTCTGCACATGGCTCCAACCCTGAGTATGGACCTCACACAGGCAGCTCTGGGGACTCTGAGCCAATGGTTCAGCATTTACCAGCACACCTCCTTACTAACAAAGCTGGGACTTGCATGTTCCTGTATTTACCCAAGTTAGAGACTGAGGAGGAGGTAGCTAAGCCAGAGCTTGCTCCCCTTAGAAGAAGCCTCTGTGTGAGAGAGATGAGGGCACAGAGGCTTGCTGTCCCTCCTCTGGCCACAAGCTTAGGTCCCTGAGCACAGGTTTGCAGCAGTGCAAATGGAGTGTACTGGACAGTTTTATGTGGACTTGACACAAGCTACAGTCATTTGAAAGGCAGGAACCTCAAACGAAAAAATGCATCCGTAAGATCCAGCTATAGGGCATTTTCTAATTGGTGGCTGATGGGAGAGGACCCAGAGCCATCCCTGGGCTGGTCGGTGGTCCTGGGTTGGATAAGAAAGCAGCAGGTTGAGCCAGCCATGGGGAGCAAGCAGCCCTCCCCCATGGTCTCTGCAGCAGCTCCTGCCTCCAGGCTCCTGCCCGGGTTCAGTTCCTGTCTGACTTCCTCTGGTGATGTGGAAGTGTGAGGCAAATAAACCCTTTCCTCCCAAACTTGCTTTTTGGTCATGGTGTTCATCACAGCAATAGAAACCCTAACAGAGCCAAAGCTAGTGTCTCTAAGTCTTGTGATTCCAGCCTAGAGTCTCTCAGGCTCCCGCCTATGTAAAAGCTGCCTCTGTTAGGGGCTACCCCAGCTGCTGCCCCCAGCTTCCCTTGGCCTCCTTGTGCTGTCAAAAGTGGTTCCAAGAAGATGTGAGCAAGGATCTGTAGGATTGGCTGAAGCCCATGTGTGTCTCTTCCTCAAGGGCGATGACACCAAATGCCTGTGTGGCAAGAACAGACCAGCCTGGCCCCGCACCGACCCACCTGCCATGGAAGACTCCAGACTGCGGGAGAGCCGCGCACTCACACTTGCATTTACTGTTCATCATTCGTTCATTCATTCATTCATTCATTCACTGGTTCATCCGTTCATCCGTTCGTTCTTACAGACATTCTTTGGTTGGAGCACTCATTCCTGTGAGGGTGCATAATCCACACATTTGCTCTTCTCACATTGTCCCCACTTTATCCACTCCACTGTCCACTTATTCATCCACTCTCTCGGGCATTCATATCGCAGCTGGAGCCCTGCAAGCCGCTGCCTCCTAGTTTAACACTAAGTAGCTTGAACAAGACACGCTGGCTTCCAAGAAGGAGCAGGAATCACCCCACACACACACTTTTCACCCTCTGCTGGCCAGCCAGTGTCCCAGAGCCATGAATTATCACCGTTTCCTGAAAGCTGCCTGTTACTGTCCTAACTGAAACCATCCTGGCTCCTGCCAATTCAATGGAGCCCTCTCTTAGGTCCCAGAAGGGGACACACCAAAGTAACAGAGTCGACAGCCACCCGCCCTGCCATCCTTTCCCATTAAAAGGGCTCTAAAGTCCAATTACAGCAGGGAACGTGTGGTCTCTTTAAACCAGAGGCTCTCCGTCCGCTCAAGGGTATTTGTGATTGCCTGCAGCCTCCTCCAAGCTAAAAATTATCTGCTTTTCTCTCTTTGCTAAATTACAGCCCCCTCAGATTGGTGCTGGGACTGGAGGGAGTCCCCGATGGAAAACCCAAGTGACAGACCCTTTCACAAACTCAGAGCTATTAATTGGTTTGGAAATACTGAGCGGGAAGCTAAAAAGGCTTCCGGGGGATTAATGTCAAGTAATGAGCCCCCTTGATGGTGTGAGAAGCCTGGTGTGGGCAGAGGTAGCAGCAGACACCATTGTGTTTCAGCCTGTGGCCCAGAAGCAGGACCCTGACTGGGAAATGCTGCTTCCCGGGCTGCAGGTATCTTAGGACCTGCTCTGCTAGGCTGTCTCCCCTCTGCAGAGGGGCTGATGCTGGGCCAAGGCCCGACTCAGGCTGCAAGGACTTTATCCCTTGGTTCCGGGAACTGGGCAACATCTACCTCCCTTCTTCTAAGTTTCAAGTGACAAACCACAGTTCAACTCCACCAACATAAACCAGTGATTTTATCATGTTTACTTACAGAGTGGTGGCTGAAGGGCCACGGGTGTGAGCATGGGTGACGCTAAAGCAGCCACACTGAAAGGCTTGCACCCAGCAGGAAAGATGACTTCCTTGAGACTACAGATGGAGCCGCTTCCCCAGACTATAAACCTACATCCTTCCTTGAGACTTCAAGGCCACAAGCAATCAGGGCAGACTTGCGTACTTGTGCCTGAGAGGACTGGCTGGATGTTCAGGCCAGTGAATTCACTTTGTAAGGAGCAAAGCTGTGAGGGTGACATGGGAGAGGGAATCACTGTCCCCAGCTTGGACGCTAGCCCTTCCAGAGCTTTGTCCTTCCAGAACACACACTCCAACCTGGGCTTCCAGCATCAACACCCGAGCCGCTCTTCCCTGTTTCCTGGCACACCCAAAGTCTTGGGTGGGAGGGAAATTCAGGACTCACCCACCTCAGCCTTTTTAGGAATGGAGAAGTCCCCAGGGAACCAGACTACAGAGGGAAGAAGGATGTGCTCAGAGCAAACATGCCGTGTAAGCTGACATGCCTCTCTACCCTGCATCCATAGGGTACCCATTTCCAGAACTGAACTGCACATCCCTGGCGCTCTCTCCAAGTCCCACAACAGGGTACCACTCAAGAACTCATCCTGAGGTCCGGACATAATGACTGGACCTGTGATCCCAGCATTGGGAAGCAGAGACAGGAGGATTCCTGGGGCTCCCTGAGCAGCCAACGAGGTGCCAGTGAGAGACCCTGCCTCAAAAGTCAGGTGGATAGCATTTAAGGAATGAGACCCAAAGTTCACACACACACACACACACACACACACACACACACACACACACACACACACACGGAAGGAAGGAAGGAAGGAAGGAAGAAAGGAAGGAAGGAAGGAAGGAAGGAAGGAAGGAAGGAAGGAAGGAAGGAAAAATCGCTCTGAACTGGCCCATCATTGACTTCTGGAACCTAAACCAGGAAGTCATCTGAAGGATGAACTGAAACCTCAGATGGACAGATGTTGCTGGGGGTGGGGGAGTGGGGGGAGTGCAGTCCAGGCTCTCCGGAACCCCTTGACCCCTTCTCCTCTGAGCAAGTGAAGTCAGCTGTCTGTACCAGGTTAACAATATATATTTATGAGATGCAGCCAGCTGCTTGTGTTTCGCACGTGTTTGTTAATGAAGGGTAACCTGAGGGGCAGGCTATTATGTAAATAACCCTACGTGGGTGGAGGTGAAGCCCCCAGTAATGGCTGGTCTTGACTGGTCTCGGCAGCTTTGGGGAGGCGCTAATTGATATTGGATCTTGTCATTTGCCAGGCTTCTCTCTGGCTCTGCCAAATGAGGGTCACGAAGGATGGGGCCCATCTCCATTTGAATTCAAATGGCCCTTTCTCATCTTCATTTCTGCATCCTGATCCACCACGCCTAGGCATCCTCAGAGACCAGCCTCGTCAGAGCTTGCGGTGGCGATGCAGGATGCTGGCAGCCTGCAGTGTGCAGAGGGATCTTCTCCTGCAGTGAGCAAGGAGGGACCCAGCCTGCTTACTTCAGCTTGGAAAAGCATCAGCCTGTGTCTGCCCAGAAGACAAGAAATGTGACAGCCAGCTGAGGAACACTGACCTCCCCAAGTCTCATGACGGAGGAGTCTCCACACTGTGGAGGACAGAGGTGGGTGGGCACAGCTGACAAAGACTCCAGCCTTGATCAGGAGCTTGTCTAGGGGGTGTTGGGTCACTGGAGGCTTTAGATACTTGCAACCTCTCCCAAGAAGGGTCAGCCAGCTCCTCTTGCTGGTGCCCCTGAAATCGGAGTGGGGCCTGATGCCAGGTTTGAGCCACCTGCTCATGCTCAATTAGCCTGTTTCTTGGATACCCAGCCTCTCCCTGCAGACTGGAGGGGGAGTCTGGCTTTTGTCTTCCATTGTCCAGGTGGAAGCTCCAGCCAGGGCGTGGTCTGGAAGACTGACTCCAGGCCGTGTTGTCCGCTGTTTCTTGCTCTGGTGGGACCCTCCGCCCCTCCCACCTTCCATCCTCCTCCTCTGTGCTCCACTTTCTCTGTCCCCCTGTTTTTTCTCAGCTCCTCTTTCTCCTCCCATTCCTCCATTCCCCTTTCCACTCTCCTCCCTTCCCACCCTTTCCTCCCCTCCT